TATTTACTAAACGCAATTCCAGGGTGTGCCTTTTCCAGAAAGCAGATTCACAGGCAGCAGTATCATCCCTTCTTGGCGGGTGGAGGGACGGGGTGCTCAGGCAGCAGCTCCAGAGGGATGAAGGAAGGATGTGACTCCTAAACAAACACTGGAGGAAACCCTGGGCACCTGGAAGGAGTCCCGCACCTGGTTCCTGTAATAAATGGGAGACTCTGTCCCTAACGTTTTAAAGCACACAGAGAGCACACCTTTCTGTGAACTGCTCTTTTACAGGCAAACTACCACCTCCTTGTCTGTCTGTTATCAGCTGATGCAAAAATAGGCTAAAAACTGGCCTAAAACATCACCTATACAAAAGGAAGTCTTCAGAAAAATGATTCCTTAGGGCTCAGTATGAATAATAATTAGGGAATGTGCTGTTCTTTTTCCAAGCACTGTGATTATACCAATGAACTAATTTGCTTTAACTGGTGTCATAAAGAGTCCTAAAGCACATAAAAAATTTGTAAAAATTCACTTTGTATTAACTGAATTGCTTGAAAAATGCCAGACATTGTATTGATCTCCAGTTAAAGACAGTATTTCTTATATAATTAGGAAACTTAGAATTATAGTTCTTGAGACTTGGTGTAAATAAACAGAAATGAAACAGGGAGTAGCTGTGCTCTTCACACAGAATTGTTGTAAACACTCACCTGATAAAAAATGAGAGGCCCCACAGACATGCTGGTTTCATTAATATTATTGCCATCCTATGTAACTGTAATTTTCTAAGTGTTTACAAGGTTCCTGTACAAATGAAACAATGCCCACGGAACAATCCAGTTTAATGTTGACATGTGACATAATGTTTCTAGTACGTATCATCTGTAATAATATGGCTACTATCTTGTTAATGTGTAAGTTAAGAGGCTGGGGTCTATTTGGGACAGGGCTAAAGTCACTTCAAACAAAGCACCAAACAAATGGTTAGAAACTCACCAGTGTGAGACTGAGTTCCCATCACAGTTACCAACTTCCCCACCACGGACCACCAATCACGGCCACTCGCCATGCAACACCCTAATCCTCGGTCTTCAGCCGTCTAAGCCTTACAGCACCACGCCTCTGCTGAATGCCGCCCACTGGAGACGGGCGTAGCAACCTTGAATGATTTTGAAAGAACAGCTAAAGAGAGAGGAAGAAGAGGAGGAGGCGGCCAGAGGAGGAAAGGGAGGAGGAGATAACATTCCATTCCAGCAATAATAAACTAACACGTTCTTTTAAGTGGCCTAAACTATATGATCTGTTTTCCCTTGCACAACCAATTCTACTGATGCAAACAGCTCTTGGAGTATCTGGGGAAGGATTTATTTTTGATTATGAACACTAACTCTGCGCAGCAGGAGCAGCTGTTCCGCTGGATGGACTGTGTCCCTGCGGGGAAAGTGTGGGGCTCCCACCCCTGCACCCCCAGGCACCCTGCCTTTCTCTGCAGCGTGTGCTTTCTCCCACAAACCACACTGATGATGGGACACAACGGCGGTACACAAACCTGCCCGCTGCCCACTGTAAACTCACACACCCAATGCAGGGAAGAGCACCCTGCACTGGATCTCGGGCTCATCCTGCCTTTCACGGGTGCCTGGACACTGTTCCTCACTGCCGAGTCTAAGCTAACCCCACAGAGCACCAGGAAAAAAAGAAAACTTTCCATCGGTTTCTGGATGGGGTTGAAAGAACCTGAAGTCACAGGAATGAAATAAACCTTTTAATCCATGCTTTGTCTGAAAGGACGCAAAGATTTTATCCCGGGCTTAGCCCGGCAGTAATCACAACCATTTCCGCTGGGTGAGGTGTTACACTCTGTCTCCTGGCATCGATTATTTTGAGAACAAAAAACAAATCTACTGGGGAGAAAAAAAATACTGAAGCTGTTGGCTGCAGGCAGAAATACTGAGAAAAAAATCTGAACTCCAAACTCCCCTGGGATCACCACAGATACCAAAACACCAAGGAGACGGCGGCCAATACGGTGCCCTCCGCATCCTCCTTTCCTATGGTGTCCCCACTTGGACACTGTGTGACAACCAGGGCTAACTGCAAGGGCGCAGGAAAACTCCATCCTGGGAACAGACAGCTCATTCACTATCAGAATATTACAAACAGTTATATTTCTGTAGTCCTATCAAAGAGCACCTAAATGCTAAGTGTAGGGGACGACTACCTTATTTTCCCATTAAAAACCAGAGTCAGACATAAAAAAAAAAAAACTAATTCCACTGAATCTTAGGTAGAGTTTATTATCTTCTGCCACCTGACCTCTGTAGATAAATTGGTTCTCAAAGCACACACAAACCGCACCAGACTTCCAGGAAGGTCATCTAATGTATTAGTTGATTGCACTGGTAATAAACAACAAAGTTTTGAACAGTCACTCAACAACATCACAATTTAACTTTTTAATACTTAAGGGAAAATAGATAAATGCATGTCAAGAGTTTTTCTTGTATTTCTTTTAAGCAGGTATATAATAAGTGACCCTAAAAAAATGTGACCATAAAAAAACTGCTTGTGAGAAAACGTGCCCTAAAGCTTTCTGGAGAGAATGCATTTGAACATTTATTGGGGGGGGGGGGTCTTTTTCCTTTTTATCGGTACCGGGGATCGAACTCACGACTGCCTGTTTGCAAGGCAGGCGCTTATGCCGCTGAGCTAAATCCTCAGCCCCTCATTTGAACATTTCTAATACATACTGCCACAATTCTAAAAGCTAGGGAACACCACTTTATCCCCTTCTTGGAAACTTGAGCACTGACCCTCTCCAATCTTTCTCCAGCCTTCTCTTCTCCTTTCCTGGTGGCTTTGGGCTTCCCATGAGCTCCACCCCACGTCTGAGGTCCAAAGAGCAGTCCCACTCCCGAAATTCACTGCCTCCCACCTTCCACGCCTGTTCCTCTGGCACTTCTCTAGAATGTGGAATCTAGGTTGCAGAGAAGAGGAAGTCGGCACCCACACTAACAGTGACAACAAAAGCAGCTTTCAAAGGTAGGGGCTGAGCCAGCAGGTGAAAGCCATCTGTTTACACTCAAAGCAGCTATGGGTCCTGACTACACCTCAGAGCGGGGGTGGGGGGTGGGGTGGGGGGTGGGGGGGGTGGGGGGGTGGGGTGTGTGTCTGTGTGTGTGTCTGTGTGTGTGTGTGTATGTGTGTCTGTGTGTGTGTGTGTACTGCTGTGGAACCCGCTGCACTTCTTGATACACTCACCAGCTGTAGGGATACAAAGGACACACATGTGCTACCTAAAAACATTTGATTCTGGCTGCCAGGGAGCTGGGGCGGCACAACTGGGCCCCAGGGAAAATGGGTCCTCAGGGTTCATGTGGGCATGTGGGCAGGGGGTCTTACCTGTCTATTGGCTCTTTTAGTAGATCTTTAAAGACATTTCAAGATCAAATAGTTTCTTTCATTTAAAAATTCTTAGCTTTTGGCATGAAACAACACTTCTCCCTGGACTCAGCTAGAACCTTATGGGTTTTTTCTGGGTTTTTTTGGTTTTTTTGAGAAATTACTGGGATTGGGGGAGGAAATGTAACACCCTAAACTTCTCATTGCCTCTTGAATCTGCTGGCCATGGGTTTTCCAACTCATTTTGTGACAGGGTTCCTACCAAAAAAAACAGAAACAAAAACAAACCCAAAAAGGGTTCATTTCAAATCAGTTAAGGAAGCATCCAAGTCATCATAATTTGGAGGCTCTGTTCCCAATACCTTTTTGGCTCTTTTCAGTACGGTTTCACCTTAAACTGTCTTCTGAAGGGAAGAGATGAGAACACTGTCACCTTTCCCTGGCAGCTCCGCTTGGCACTTCGATTGACTCCCATTCAGACCCAAAATATGTGACCACAAACTGTACCAGTAAACCAGTGAGACCCACAGCACTCAAGGTTTACTAAACGTCTCTAGCACACCTGCCAGCCCAAAAGTTACTTCCAAAAACAAAAAAAGGTTTTTTAAAAAAATCTTTGAAATAGAGCCTTACACTGTAGTTCAGACTGGCCTTGAGCTCAATGTGTAACCCAGGCTGGCCCCAAATTCACTGTGACCCTTTTACCTCACTCAGCCTCCCGAGGGACGGGTCACAGGTATGTGCCATATCTGGTGAAGTAATAGTTTCGAAATCTTTCTAGATTTGTGGACAAACTTAAAACCTACCTGTTACAACTGGTAGGAGGTTTCTCAATCTTTTTTTAAGATAGACTTAAATTCTACTTTTCTGCTGGAGAACAAGAAGCACTTAAATCTTGGGAAAAGCATGTGTACCCGCAGGTTTACAGGCACGCACGTGTGTGAATGCGCATGCATGCATGTGAACCTCTGGGATTTTAAACTGTATCTTCAATTGTAGTTTTTCTTCAGAACAGCTATCAGCATTTGCCAAGCTACCCAGAAATTCAGGACCACAGTTGGAAAGATGAAGAAAAACATCTTTAGTCTTATGAAATTATTACATGCTTATGTTTTCAATTCTGTAAAATACACCACCACCAGCATGTCTTTTTTCTACAAACACCAAGTGTATTTTCTGTTGTGTTCCTCCCATTACGGGTTCAGGAGGGCAGAGGGGAGGGGAAGATGCCACATAATCCACACCAGCAACCACACAGGTCTCCAGAGATCTCCAGATCTCTTGGGCAGGGGCAGCAGCACAGCTGCACAGCACACTTGGCTCCTATCAAGTGTGCACACAGGGAGAGGCTGAGAGGGCAGGATGCCTATGGCTGTGAGCTTATTTACCACATTGGGAAGCCGTGCACACAGCAGACTTCAGCCACAGAGGTGCCCCCTGGGGCTCCCCTCTTCAATGTTAGGTCCTGACCGAGGCGCAAGAAAAGGAGAGGGCAACAGGCAGGCACAGATTCCCTCCTGGGGCTTTGCCGGCCTGGCGTCAGCTCGCTGCCCTCTGCCCCACCTGCACCTCGGGCTGAGCCCACTCAGAGCGCTGGGGTGGTGGGCACTTACCTCCCTGAGCATGTCTTGCTGCCCTCCTACATGGCAGCCACACTTTCCTGTTTGCACACATCCTCTTGCCAGCTCACGGTGCCGCCAGGTCACTGCTGTCTGCTGGTGGCGGCAATGGCGGCCCTGGCAGGAAAGAACTTTGCCTGCCTTTCCTGGTACTGAGCCACAAGGAGCAGTGAGTGCGCCCAGGCACAACTCCCCTGGCTCCGCTCCTAAAAACACTCTCTCAAGTACACCGTTGCTTAGCAATATAGGCCTTCCCCCTGTACGCCTGAAATTGGCAACATCTGTCCCTATGGCGATTTTGACTTGAACAGTGCACCATGTGCATAGTTTGAATGCACTGGCTTCACGAAACAAGCAGCCCTCCGCTCCTCCCGCCCTCCCCCAGCTGGGCGCAGGAGACTCCAAAATGGCTCGCACTTTGCTCTGACTTCAAGGCTGGTAGGAAAATCTATGGATTAAGGCAGCTTATAGCAAAACACCCAAGCCACCAACGGGGAGTTCCTATTACACTGCATCTACGAGGACTGCATCTGTAGGTTACTCCTGAGCGTGGGTCTGAAATAAAAGCCCCAGCTGGCTGACAGTATCCCCGAGAACTGATTCCAGCACAAGGCTTTATGTGGATACACATGCTGTGGGTAAGATAAGATGAAAGGCGGTTGGGAGTGGGTGCAGGAGGTGTGTGGTCTTTTTTTTTCTTCTTGCAACACCAAGGACCCAGCCAGGCCTTGCACCCTACCTGCCCTCCTTCCCACTCTCGCAGCTGGCCTCCCCTGCAGCTGGCCCACACACTTGTAGCACAGGCAAGCTCAGGGCCACACTTCACTGACACAAGAATTTTAAAAGGCCAGAGAGAAAAAGTTATTTAGGTGATTCCAATATTACTGCTTTCAAAACAAATGAACCTGAATTTGCTAAGCTTTATTTTATTTATAATATGCCACACAGTCATCCTAGTGTTTTACTGAGGTTACTCATTAACACTGAAACTGTTCATAGCACCATAATTTTATACATAAGGAAAAACCCACAAAAATAAAACTTGTATGGGCAATATTGTAGTTCTGAATATAATTTTAGTTTTTAGCACAATGATGGAGAAATAAATATCAGAGTAATAAAAAAAACATAAAAATCCACTAAGAACTGACTATTTGATGTGCATTCAAACTTTGGCATGTGGACAATTTTTTGTTCCTTTAAACAAATCAGGCTACAATTTTCTTTTCAGCTTAAGCCAAACCAGTTTTGACATATTAGAAACACATGTTTTCCAGAAATCCTGCAGGAACTAAGTTCTGGATACAAAGGGTGGACTGATCTTTTTGTTCTCACCGAGTCTCTACCTCAACACTCAGAAGCAGAAAGATTGGGCCATGCTTCATGTACTGAACACATACTCCATAGCTCTTAGACACATGAATTTAAGTGTCCCTGAATTCCATAGCATGCATGCATACAGAATCTCTGTCAAACACAAACGTGAATTCACCATTTCAGAATTCTCTTCTCACCTTACGTATTATTCACCCCTTACCAGATGCAGACAGAAATTGTGTGAAATAAGGGTTTATTGAACTTTATGGGAAGGACATGAGCAGACTTTGAGAATCAGGGGACACCTAGAACTCTGCAGTGCTTGTCAAGGTCATCTGCAGCAGCACTGGCTGTGCGGGCCAGCGCTGTGAGTCAGACTCTGTGGCCTCCAGCCATGGCTCTGCCATGGACCGGTGTTAAGCTCACTGCATGGAAACAGCCTAAACACAGGACTTGTACACAGAGCACATTCCTGCTCACACAGAGATGTGATCACTTTTATTATGACTTTCCCACCATGAGAAAGCCTGTCTTTGCTTCCTGTCTTTCCATTCTGGTAATCTTCCTACTTTCCCATAGCACTGAAAAAGCCATCACTATGCGACACTCTGCAATGTGTTCTTGATCCCTCCTGAGTTCACGAATGGAGGGAGACATCACCCCTGAGCAGGCCAGGACCCTGGGTGGCTCAGGTGAGAGAGGGTAGAGGGAGGAGGCAGAGGATGGGGCGCTGTCCTGCAGACAGGTGCTGATAAGCCTGAGGGTCTAGTGGAGAAGCCCTCCCCACTGCCTCCCACAACAGACACCTACAGAACAGTAAAGCTTCTGCGCAGAGTTCCGGGCTGGAAGGGGAAAGCAAGATCTAGCAGTCAATACTGTCCTTCTCCCCCACTGTCCCTCCAGAGGACTACAGCGGCCACTAGAAAGCAAGTGCTGTACCAGCCCCTGGAGCATTACGCAAACATACTTCTCCACGGTGAAACTTCTGACATGAACCCCACTCGCCAGGATAAATGTCATTACTGTATCCCACAGTGCCAATCAAAAAATAAAAATCACCAGGTCTACAAACAAGGGACACGAAACCGGCTTTCACAAAACCATCTGTATCATTACGACCAGTGGTGTCTGAAACTCTACCCCATCCTGACATACAGAAGGAAATCTTTATGGGCTCGTATTGCCTTCACCTTTCAGAGTGTTCAATCACACTACAGCTTCTTTCTTCTCTGCATTCTGCAGAACTAACAACCTTCAGGGCAACCAGCTGGCCTCGTCAGAAATAAACACCCAACAGTTGCTTCACAAAAACCTTCCTAAAAATTATTCCTCATTCAAACATCTCTGCAGTATGGGTATTAGTAGCAGCAAATGCCACCATGAACATATATTAAACATGTTAAAAGAGGAAGGAAGAAGAAAATAATAGGCAAAATTTAATTCTGAACTAATCTCAGCATTTTAGAAGGCAAGGAAGTGTTTTTAAATCACCTCCAGGGTTCAGGCTTATTTTGTTCTGTAACACTGCCCCATCGCCAACCGGGTGTCTTTCTTTCTTCCATGCTACAGGAAGACAGCCCCAAATGGTTTATGACCCACACGGGGGTGGTGAGGCTGTGACATGCAGCAGTCTGTGTGTGCCTAGGTCGACTGTGACACTGTGTCCTAAGGCTTCCTGCCTCAGTCTGCCTATGACCAACCTGCCTTTTCACCGACCCATCCCAGGTAATGGCCACTTGGGAATAGCGAGGGTGGATATGCTGTGTATGTGCTTGCAGACACACAGATCCCTAACCCTATCAAGATACATAGAGATAGGTGTCCTCAATTTGCTCTAAGGGAGATCCTGCTGTAACCAGTATGACATGTACCAGAAGCAGGTGGCTGACTTAGGGCCCTGTGGACCTCCACAGTAAGGCTACAGTGAGCTGCTGACCCTGTGGGCCATTCTGCTCCATCAGCCTGATGGCACTGAGGAGGCCCGGCAGTTACAGGAACAGATGTTGCTCTTACGCCACCCTTGGTGACTCTGCAGGGCAGACCCGGGGCTTACACCCTATGCCCACAGCTCAGGACCGTGTTGCTCCCGTGTCTGTCTCCACGCCCAGAGACCTTCACAGGTGAGAGCCAGCCCCATGTGACCCTGTCACTCACACAATCCTGGAAGCCTGAACACACAGCAGGTGCACAATACTGCCCTAGTGACACAACATATCTGTTTTTTACTAAAAAGGGGTCCCCTTTTAAAACTTGACTGAAAAATTAAATCCATTGGCATAGAATTTCATTATTTCACCAAAATAACTGGTAATCCTTCCTCAATTCTGGTGACTTCTGATCATAGCTGTTATACAATGAAGATCACTGCAGATCATTAATACACCATTTTTTTCCCACACTGTAAAGGATGCTCTGAGCATCAAAGGAAGGTAAGGACATCTTCCCATTGTCTCCTGTTTAAGTTTTACAGCCACTCTGCAGCTCCAGTGTACTGTATTACATGTTCGAAGTGTGAAGGAAAATGAACCCATTCTTCTGACTCCACGGCTCCACTCACCAGAAACACTGCTGCCCACATGTATTTTGTTAAAATATTAACTTTTAAAACTATAAAGTCTCCAAATTTTAATGAGAAAAGCTGAGCCCACTGCACTTACATATTTACACATTCAGACAGTGTAAAACAAGCAGGGTGACAAACTGAGACATTGACCAGGGGCTCACATACATCATCTTACTCACACCTGACAACTTCCTTATCAGCAAGGTATTCTATGATTTCCATTCTGTAGACAAGAACCTGAAACTGACATCGTGTAACAGCTAGTAAAGACAAAGCTTCAAACCCATACCTTCCTTAACCCCAAATCCATGGTCTTGACCATTACCTATGTGTAATTCCTCAATGTCCCATCTAATTACTCAAAACAACAAGGGAAAACACAGGAACAACTTAAAAGTATCTTTCCTTTCTCCAGTAACATCTAAATGGTCTATCGTGCCCAATAGGTTACATGTTTATTTGTTACATGTTATAACATACTTACTCCTAGTTATAAATATTAACACATCAAAGTTGTTTGCAATCAACTCTATAAGAAAGCGCTGTCCTGGGAGGAAAGACAGCTTAGGCATTATGCAGTCACACTGCTGTTAACAATGTCCGCTTGTCATCTACAGGTGCTTACACCTGGGTTATCTAAACTAAAGCTCAAGGTGGCTAAGACTAAAGAGGAAGAGAAGCTCATGTGTGCTGAATGAGTACTGAAAACAAACTTTCCATTATTGACTACAAAGTCTAAACAAGTAACTTAAATATATGAAAGGATCTGCTAACTCAGAAGTGGAGAACAATTGCTAGAATTAAAAGTTCTTTTCCATTGGAAGAATGTGTTTCCTGGGGGGGAAAAAAAAAAGTTCTTCTCTGAAAGAACCACGTTTTAGATTTGAAAAGAGCATCACTGACTACTGTTATAATCTGAATGTATGAGTCCTTCCAAAACTTTTGTGTTGGAGCTTAAATCCCAAGGTGACACTGTTAAAAAGCACATAGTTAGGTCTCAGGACTCTGCCTTCAGGGATGGGATTAGGACTGCCACCCTCCAGGACTAGCCACGCAGCGGGTGGAGACCAAGGGACTGGGATGGCTCCTCTGTCAGAGAAACCCCAGCCTCCCACAGTATGCAGCATGCATACTTACTTGGGTGTCTCCAGTCCCCTGGAACAGCCTGCACAGACCTCACCGCCGGGAAGAGCCAAGTTGGAGGCAGTCCCTTCACTTCACTGCTGTGGTCCCCTGGGCCTCCTGAGCACACGACAAAGCCCCTCTCGCAGGTCACCAGACCCACGAGCCAAGCGCCCACAGCACGCCACAGTGCAGCACTCCCCTGACGCCCACCCAAGCAGCACATATGCAAACTGAAGCTGACTTGGAACCCAGTAAAGGGCTCCTTGGGGTCCAGAACAACACATCAGTGTTTACCCAGGCCTTGTAACTCACTCACTAGGATTCCAACAGAATGCAAGGCTGATGAAGGGCCCCCAGGCTCTGTTCTGTCCTTCACTGCAAGACCATTAATCTTACTGTGAAGCAAAGCCTCGGCCGCCGGCAGGCATTTTCAGGGTTAGAAATCCCTAATCCCTAAGACTTGCGCTACCTATGGACATGGTGGTGGCAAAGGTGACCAAGTACCTCACCCAGTGTGGTCAGCTCATCCACAGAACAGCGAGTCACTCAGTGGCGAAACTTTGTTTGAGATAGGGTCTCACGGTGTACTTCGGGCTGGCCTTGAGCTCACTATGTACCTCAGGCTGCCTCGAACTCACAGTCTCCCAAATTCTGAGACTACAGGCATGCGCTGCCACACCTAGCTCAGTGGTAAAGTATTAAGAATGAATCCTCTTCCACATTACCTGCCTCATATATATGATATACACCAAAGGAAACCCTGATACAGAGGAAAACAAGCATCCAAAGATTGCCATTTGTGAATTTTTACCATACATGAGCTCCCTGGGCTCCCCGTTGAGAAACAGCAGCCCCAAAGTGGGGGCGCTACCAGGAAGTGCTACCAGTGGAGGGCACACAGGAGTGTGAGAGCTTAAGTCCTTTAAGAAACAGTTAAAGATGGCAACCGTTCCTCAAAACCCTAGCTGGGCTTTGCTTCAGTGCCCCGCACCTCACAAATACAAGATTCAGTCCCGGGCCCTGTGGGTCCTCTCTATTCAGCAGAGATTATCTTTTAAGCGAAGCACCACATGGCAGAAATTCCAGTTTTGGCCCAATTCTCATTTGTACTAAACAGGAAGGGGACACCACCGATTTGGGCCCTAGAAATGATTCCCCTGGGAGAGTCTAGAAAACGTGACACTGGGCACACACACAGGCAGGAGCCCCAGGAGAACTTCAGTTCTAAGCAGCCCATGGGCTGCAGGGAGAAGAGGCACCTCGGGAAGGGGCCATACCCTCAGCGACAAGGACAAGCCTTGAGAGAGACACACTGTGATTCCCACCTGTGATCCCATCACTGAGGGAGGCTGAGGCAGGAGGGTCCAAGTGGAGCCCCACTTGGGAGACTTTGCAATACCCTCACCCAAAAGAAAAAAATAAACAGGGCTGGGACTAGAGCTCAGTGATACAGTCCCTGGGTTCAGCGTCAGCAGGGAAAAAAGAGGAAAACGAGCAGCAAGAAGATGCAGGAAATGGGAGAGCTGGACACAGTGCCACATACTCACAGTTCCAACAACTGAGGAGGCTGAAGCAAAAGGCTCCTCTGAGCCCAGAACTTTGAAGCCAAGCTGGGCAACAGGGAGGGACGCCTGCTCTTGGCTGGGGGTTGTGGGTTTGTATCCTGAAGGCCAGGGAAAGGTACAGAGAGATAAAATTTATCAATAAAATAAAATTAAGAATAATTTATTCAATTTTCACTCAATAAAGTCACTCTTGCTGGGTGTGGTGGCTCACGCCTGTAATTCCAGCACTCAGGAGGCATGCAGGAGGATGGTTGCAAGTTGGAGACCAACCTGGGCTATGAAGTGAGCTCAAGGCCAGCCTGAACTGCATATTGAGATTTGTGTCAAAAAGACAAAGTCAGTCTTGCATAAGGTAGCTTGAAAAAGGTGGGAAAAAGCAGGAAGACAGATTAGAAGGGTAGGTGGCAGAAGGTCCACGTTAGACACGGGCAGGGAGGGCATTTGTAAAATGGTACCCACAGGCCCAAGCTGCAGGGCATCCAGTGGGAGATGGCAGGAGAGGCAGGAAGGGGAGTGGAGAATGGAAAGGGAGCCGGAACAACCAAACTGCTGGGAAGGCGAGGCAGGGCGGGGCTACAGGAATCCACAGCTCAAGACCTGCCACAAGCTAGCGGGATCCCACCCCAGGAGTGGAAGCTTCAGGTCCAGAGTGTGAAAGGCTGGGGGGGACAGGGTCGTGGCGAGGGCTGGGCTGCAAGAGCAGGAGCAGCTCGGGATCCAAGAGCAGTACAGAGCTTCAGGAGGCCCGGAGGGGGAGCCAGGCAGTCAGAGAGACGGGCTGAAGAGCCTCGAGGCAGCATGGTCATGGGCTTTGGTCCCTAGAGCTGCAGAGCAGGAGGTGCCTCTGCCTCACTCCACAGTAGGGAAGACTTGCTGTAGCGAGAGATTACAGTATAGGAAGAACAGAGTACAGGCAAGGCTTTGAAGTCCCCAAGGGGCTGCGGGAAGGCACGGTGGGCTGGTGGTCAGACCAGACAGAAGAACGCCTCCTCCTGTGGCCTGAAGGACAAAGTTAAGCGTTGGGACTGGCTGCTGTCTCAGAGTCACGGGAGGTGACACTGAGACAGGGAAGGCACACTTGGGGGGCCACTGTCTCTGAGAGGTACAAATCGAAGCTAAAGGCCTTAGGCGCAAGCCATAGGGCTGCCACGCCCAGACTGTCTTATCTCCTGGGTAGCCAGCCAGGTCTCTGGGTCTTTGTCTCTGTCCAGCCGGGTGGTGTCATTCTGTAGCTGCCAATGCAGAACAGCACCTGGTGCACTATGCAGAGGTCGCTCCAGAAGGGCCGGGCTGGCAGGGCTGGAGGCAGGGTGCACATATGCAGCGGAGACCCTCAGAGGGAGGCCCTGAGCTGTGTGGCATGACTTGTCTGGCCCCACGCCACCGCAAGGTCACCGACAGTCAAGCGACAAGCAAGCACTCTGCAAACTGAAGGGTGGGGACAGAAACATATTTCAGAGCGGTTATGTTTTTATAAAGTGAAACATTTACCCCAGGGTCTGCGATCCCTGGAGCAGCTGCTCAGAAGAGAACTTCCAGGATGGCAGGGCAGGGCAGGGCAGGGCAGGGCAGGGCAAGGGCCCGAGTTGGGAGGACTAGCCCAGCGGCTGCCCAGTACACAGACGCCTGCAGCCTCTAAACAAACCCTTGCTCTCCTTGGGCTTTCTATTTGGTTACTGGTTTTAATCTTTAAAAGAAAACTGGAGGAGTTATTCATCTCGAATGTCTTAACTGGCAATTCAGGGTCCCCCTGACCCCCAGTTGGCAACGTGCCTTCCACCCTCCCACCTCCTGACATCGCTTACACCGCAGCCCCAGTTCTACCTCTATGTACAGCCCACCTCAAACTTTCAACCAGAGCACCTCCACCAGCACCTCCAGAGCCCCGCCTGAGTGGAAGCAGCCTGCAGCCTGGGCCTGCAGGGCGTCACAGCCACCGTGGCGTCACAGCCACCGTGGCCAGACAGACTGCTAGCAAGGTTGTGCTCCTTGCCCAATGTCTCACTGAGTTACAGCCCCTCACACGCTGCCTGCCAAGAAGCCAAGGTGAGTCCTCCTTCCCACGCATGACTTGTTCCTAAGTCACACAGTGAGCCAGAACAGAGCCCCACGTCGGGGCTCTGCCCAGCTCCGTTTCTCTCCTTGTCCTAGGCTATGTCTTTTCTCTCTCTCAACTTTATCCCAGGAAGGCCTTTCCAGTACCCCAAATGGTACAAGAGGCAACTCTTTAGAAAGGGAAACCACTGCTTTCTCCCACTCGCAGGCCTCAGAGTGGGTGCTAAGATGATGGTTCCAGCTCTGGAGCCTGAGCTCCAGGGCCACAGAAGAGGCTGCAGGAAGCTCAGACAAAGGAGCCCCTGCAGTTGCTCAGTGACCCCCACAACAGATGAGGACATCTCCCACCACACGGGACCCTGTGCATACAAAGGGAGTCAGCACCCATGGGAAACCAGTGCGGCTCCCATCACGCAGCAGGCAGGAATGAAGCCAGCAACGCACCACGACTCACCCTATGCCACCTTCCCACTGCCTGCACTGCACACAGCAGCACACGGCCAGCAGCAGATACTCCTCCACGGCATGCAGAAGGCAAGAAACACGGACAGTGTGTCCCCTGTCACCAGCCATCAGACAAACTGAAACCCCTTGTACACCAGAAAGCAAGACCACCATCAAGAAACCAAATAACAAGTGCTGGAGGCGGGGGTTCTTATTTGTTGGTGGTACAATCCCTGTGGAAATCGGGGTGGAGTCCTCAAAAAAACTAAAACTAGCTCTCTTTTCAAAAGAGTGACAAACACCACACTACAGTATCCCATGCAGACCCATGTCTCTAGTAGCACAACTCTCCATATGTAAATCTGGAAACGGCCTACAGGTCCATAAACACGTGAACGGATAAAGAAAACGTATTTACACAAAGGAGCACTATTCTGCCTCAAAGAAGGACAATGCTGAGTCACCAGGAAGACAGATGCACCTTGAGGCCCCAGTGTTATGAGAAATCAATCCAGCATCCAATCATCCCACGGTTTCTCTTGACTTCAAACAGGAAGGTTAACTCCTCTGGTTTGTTTATTTTTGGTGCCGAGGATCAAACTCACGACCCTGCACTTACCAGGCAAGCACTTAAGCCATGGAGCTAAACCCCCAGCCCCAGCTACTCTGATTTTATAAGTTCACACTGCACCCGTGTACTGAAATGTTACGTATATGCATGTAATTTAATCAAAATTTAATGCTTTGATTCAGTGTTTACATTTTAGAAACTTTAGAAACCAGTTCAGGAAGAAAACAAAAGCCGTCACAACCACACTGACGGAGCTGGGAATTCTGACTGCCTGGTCTTATCACTCCTGCACGTTCTGCACATTTTAAATGATCACGCTGTACCCTATAAACACGCACAAATGAAGCAGGAACTTTTCTTGTTCTCTTTTGAGATGGGATCTCACTGTGTGGCGCAGGTGACCTTGGACTTGCTCACACAGCCCAGGCTGGCGGCAAGCTCCATGATGCTCCTCCCTCAGCCTCCCAGGTGCTGGGCTGACAGGTGTGTGCCACTACGCTCAGAGTGAAGTCATAACTTCTAAAACTAATTTTAAAAGCTAGGTCTCCAAGGAAAAGGCAAGTTCATAAAGCTTAAAGCTATAAGAATGCCACAAGGAAGATAAATATAGAATGCTTTCTTTTCTTAATTAATGCAGTTCAATAAAGCTTCAAATTCTTGCCTAATATGAATTCTCATAATTCTATTATTTGTAAACTAGACCAAAAAAGCTAAGGTGATTTATCTGAAGGATAGAGCTAGAAACAGGACCTCTAATTACTTAAATACGGAGGCCCCTAAATTAAAACAGAAACCCTCAAAGCCCTCCAACCCTGGGGATTAAGAAGATCTGAGTGGCTTGACAAATTACCACGGGCATGGGGAAACAGAGAGAAAGTAGGCCAAGCTGAACATGGAAGAAAATGGCGTGGGCCCTAAACCCGAAAGGCAAAAGGGGGCGTTGTCAATATAGTGATTTCAACATTTGGTGTTTCTGCTTCCCGGTTGGTTCGGTTTGGTTTTTTTGAGACAAGAGTCTCACTATGTAGTCTAGGCTGGCCTGACCCTCATGGCAATCCTTTTGCCTCT